AAATTTCGGCAAAGGGTTTGGGTGGCCGCAAGAAGCTATAGAAAAAAATGATACAAAATACTGCATTCTGCGCGTTTCCCAGACCCTTTCTTAATCTGAAACGCAAGTTATTTCTGCGTTCTTTACTTTTTCGACAATATTTTGGTCTCAAAGCAAAATATATAGATTCAGTGTAAGACTTTTAGTTTTTAGGTACAACATCAAAAGACTAATATGTAGGATAAAGCAAAAATGTAATTCACATAGAAAGTATGTGGCTGCTGTTTTTTTTATTTTCCTTTTTTTTTTGTGTTTCTGCTTGCAGAAAATCTTTTATTCCTGTCAATTATGTGTTTTTTTTTCAAATTAAGTTAAGAGGGGGCTGATTATCATTGATATAACTATGTCAAGTAAGTTTTTATAACACATTTCAATTACAACTTGATGTAGTTCCTTACTGGGATACAATTTAAAGTAGTTTGTAAAATTTGATAAAAAGTCCTTCAAATTAATAAAATTTAGATTTAAAACAAAAATTACTATATTACCGATGGGATGCAACACTAAGAGAATAAAGAAGGGCAATCAATGAACAAAGACAAATCCGGGAACAGATAAAACACAAAGCGACAAACAATAGACAACTAACACTGAAAACTAAAAATAAATAAGAAACATTGATCCTGAAAAACGGGGGCTACGTCAGAGGGTGAACAGACCTTGCTTCTTGCAAGACACTCGCCGTGAAAACAATCTGATATGAAGACAAGCTTTTGTTTTTAAAATTTCCAACATGAGGCATTTGCCTCAATGTAGTTACATCCCTGTAATAAAAGTAGGGTAAATGTTCTTGAGACAATATACCTCAAGTTAAATGAAACCCATTTTAAGACATTTCAAGAACATTAATATTCATGATATTTATACATTGTATTATTAAAAGATTTGGGAAGTTTTCCCGAAAAAAATTGAAAAAACGATGAATTTTGGAAGAATCTGGTGCCATCTCATACTTTAGAATAGCATTTATAAAATGGCTTAAAAGACCTGGCGAGTTATCTATTTTCAATACATTGTAAGTCAGTCTATTTTCAATACATTGTAAGTCAGGTTATTTATTTTCAAACTACCACAGACCAAACCATTCATTTTTGTTATTATCAAGGCTGAGTTATTTATTTTCAAAATCCTCCTGCCCCCCCCCCCCCCCCCAGAATATCAAATGGTCGTCCCCTAATGAATGTGGTCTAAGAACTGAAAAATAAATAAAATGCTCCGCTGGGCACAGCTTGATACTACCGCAGAGGTCGAACCCTTAACAGTTGGGGCAAGTATGGACACATCATTTAAGCCTGATACAGCACTGAATTTGGATTGTGATTAAATATTTGACACAGCATAGGTTTCTGACACAGAATGAATGTGGTCTAAGAACTTCAAAATTTTTAATTTACCTATTCAAACCATATCATTATTATTTGCTTTTATATATAAATCAGAAATAACCAATTTAAAATGGAAAATTTTAAAGAAAAAAAAGGAACCCCCCCAAATTTTTTGAACCCCCTTATGATTCAAACTCAATCATAGCCTTCCCTTAGTGGTATGGTACCTTGCAGCACAATTTCAAAGAGATCCATACACTTGAACACAAGTTATTGTCTGGAAACTAGAAAAATGCTTGTTTTTTGGTCCCTTTTTGGCCAAAATTCCTAAACGTTGAGGGCAATTACCCCCAAACTCAAACCCAGCTTTCCCTTTGTAATATGGAACCTTGTAGTACAATTTCATAAAGATTCATACACTTACACACAAGTTATTGTCCTGAAACTAGAAAAATGCTTGTTTTTTAGTCCCTAATTCCTAAAATCTTGAGGCAATTACCCCCAAAATCAATCCCAGCCTTCCCTTTGTGGTATGGTATCTTGCAGTACAATTTCAGAGAGATCCATACACTTGAACACAAGTTATTGTCTGGAAACTAGAAAAATGCTTATTTTTGGCCCCTTTTTCCTAAACGTTTTGGGCAATTACACCCAAACTAAATTCCAGCTTTCCCTTTGTGATATGGAACCTTGAAGTACAATTTCAGAAAAATCCATACACTTACACACAAGTTATTGTCATGAAACTAGAAAAATGCTTGTTTTTTGCCCCTAATTCCTAAAATTTGGAGGCAATTACCCCCAAAATCAATCCCAGCATTCCCTTTGTGATATGGAACCTTGTTGTACAATGTCAGAGAGATCCATACACTAACACACAAGTTATGTCTGGAAGTTAAAAAAATGCTTATTTTTGGCCCCTAATTCCTTAACTGTTGGTACCTTAACCCCCAAAATCAATCCCAACCTTCCTTTTGTGGTATTGAACCTTATGGTAAAATTTCATAGAGATCCATTCACTTAAACTAAAGTTAGAGTGCGAAAACCAATGTGTCTTCGGACAATGACGACGACGATGCCAACGTCATACCAATATAAGACCGCAAAATTTTTTTGCTGCCGTATAAAAATTGGACTTTTACCCATTATGGTCCAATATCCAAAATCTAAATACAAGGTTAGTTTCCGCATTTCAAAGAACCCCAAGAAATCAATTTTTGATGAAATCAAACAAAATTTTATTTTGGACCCTGATTTGGACCAACTTGAAAACTGGGCCAAAAATACAGCTCTGAATTTGGATTGTGATTAAATATTTGAAATAGCATAGTTTCTAACACAGAATGAATATGGTCTAAGAACTGAAAAATTTGAAATTGGACATTTACCTATTTTGGTCCAATATCCTAAATCTAAATATATGGTTAGAATCAGCATACCAAAGAACCCCAAGAATTCAAGTTTTGATGAAATCAAACAAATTTTAATTTTGGACCCAGATTTGGACCAACTTTAAAACTGGGTCAAAAATCAAAATACATGTTTAGATTCAGCATATCAAAGAACCCCATGAATTTAATTTTTGTTAAAATCAAACTTAGTTTCATTTTGGACCCTTTGGACCAATTTGAAACTGGTCACAAAATCAAAAATCTAAATACACAGTTAGATTCTGATGAAATCAAACAAAGTTTAATGTTGGACCCTTTGGACCAATTTTAATACAGGCCCCAAAACTAAAAATCTAAATACATGGTTAGATTCAGCATATCAAAGAACCCCAAAGAGTTCAATTTTTGATGAAATCAAACAAAGTTCAATTGTGGACCCTGTGGACCAATTCAAAAACAGGCCCAAAATCTAAATACAAGGTTAAATTCTGCATATTAAAGAACCCCAAAAATTCAAGACTTTGAATTAATTACATTGAAATTGGTCAAGAAGTAAGCAATTTATACAAAGTATTAGAAAAGTATTGTTTTTTTACCCCTTTTTTCTAAATAGTTACGGCCACAACCCCCATTATCAATTTCAACCTACCTTTTTTGGTATGGAACCTTGTGGTAAAATTTCATAGCGATCCATAGATGTGTACTCAAGTTATTTATTGTCAGTAAACCAGAAAATCCTATTTTTGCCCTTTTTTGGTCCCTAATTCCTAAACTGTTTGGGCCATAATCGCCAAAATCAATCCCAACCTTCCTTTTGAGGTATGGAACCTTGTGGTACAATTTCATAGAGATCCATACACTTATACACAAGTTATTGTCCTGAAACAAGAAACATGCTTGTTTTTGCCCTTTATTTGGCCCTTAATTCCTAAACAGTTAGGGCAATAACCCCCAAAATCAATCCAAACCTTCCTTTTTGTGGTATGGAACCTTGTGGTACAATTTCATAGAGATCCATACACTTATTCTAAAGTTATTGTCTGGAAACCAAATATCGTCAGACGTTGATGACACTGACAACCACGACTGCTTACAACACCATAATATTATACGACCACAAAACTTTTGCGGTCGTATAAATACTGCTATGTAGCTTTAATCTATTGAGATATTGTTTTAATCATGCCAATATTTCAAAGCCAACCAGATGAGAAAATGAGGTAAATTGTTAATTTTTGTTTGTTCAAAACCGAAATTTCGCATAATGAAGTATATATGATAAAAATGTGCTATATCCAGAAATTCTATGTACTATAGCAGAAAATTACCAACCAAAAAAGATAAGTGGGTGATTTAGACCTTAAATTATTGTTTCAGACACAAGATTGATCTCAACATTTTTATATATGAATATACAAGAAGCTGACCAATAACTTCAGAAGCCTAAACTAATCGGTTTTCTATGCCAAGCCTAAAATGTTCAGTTTTCCATGTCAGGAGCCTAAACTGCTCAGTTTTCCATGTCAGGAGCTAAACTGTTCAGTTTTCTATGTCAGGAGCATAAACTGTTCAGTTTTCTATGCCAGGGGTATTGAATGCTTGGTTTTCTATGCCAGGGGCATCAACTTCTCAGTTTTCCATGTCAGAATCCTATACAACTCAGTTTTCCATGTCAGGAGCCTTAACTGCAGAGTTTTCTATGTCAGGGGCCCAAACTGCAGAGTTTTCTATGACAGGAACCTAAACTGCTCAATTTTCCATGGCAGGAGTCTATACTGCTAAGTTTTCCATGTCAGTAGCCAATACAGCTCATTTTCCCATATCAGGAGCCCAAACTGCTCAGTTTTCTATGTTAGAAGCCTATACAGGTCAGTTTTCCATGCCAGGAGCCTGTAATTCAGTGGTTTTGGTTTTTGCTCTCTGTCATATTTGTTTTTTGGTAATTGTTTTTTTATAAATCTGACTGTGCTAGAGGTTTCACATTTTGTCATGTCAAGGCCTTTTATAGCTGACTATACCTTGTGGGTTTTGCTATTTGTTGAAGTCATTGACCTAAAGTTGCTTCCATCCACATAATTTATTCTCTGGTGGATAGTTGTCTCATTGGAAATCATACCACATCTCCTTATTTTTTTATACTGGTTATAAACTTATTTCCCTAATTGACACTTGGACCACCAATGGTCTTATATTTGTGTAAAGAAATCTGAAGCTGATTAAATATGGCACCATAAAGTATATGCAATAATGATGTAATCAGTTTATTTATTTTGCTTGTTGACGACTTGTTATCATTTCTCTAAGATTGTCCTCACTTTCTTTTATATTTCTTTCTAAATATGTTTTGTTTTTCTGAAAATATAAAAAAAGAATGGTCATTGATTATATACATGTATATAAACCTCTTACAGCATATAAACTTATAAAAAGTAGCCCTGTATCATTAATCTGGTATCAATGAATTAATGTCTATACCAGTAACCATTAATCTATGTATTTTCATTAGCAAAATGAAAACCGATGGCTCCATAAAAATATCTCTAGTTGAGACCATACTGTAGTAGAAGATTTCAAAACTCACATGTTTGGTAAAGTTGTTCGCCAGTGACAAGCCTTATATAGCTTCAATGCTTTGTGGAATGAGTTTTACTTATTGTTAAAGGCCGTACGGTGAACTACAGTTGCTAACTTCTCACTTACTTTGTCTCTGGTGGAAATTTGCCACACTGAGAAATCATACCACATCTTGTTATTTATGATCTTAATTTTTCAGAACAGAGTTCCAATGGCCCCCGCATTGCACATATTTTATCTGTCCAAAGGCAATAACTAAAAAAACTTTTTATAAATATCTTGGAGAATTTCAGGCTTGAGAGCAAATACAATGCAATTTCCGATATAATTAATATTTGCAAGGATCATTACTCTTATAAAAATATTTGATCTGCAACTGATTTCAAAAATTGTCCAAGACATAAACCTTTGATATAAATTTGATAAAAATCTGGCAAAAATTGTACATGTGAGAGCGCTTACAATACAATTTTCCATATAATCAATATTTCGAAGGGGCATAACTCTTTTAAATCAAAGTCATGGAAATCACTCATGGAAAGATTGGAAGCGTAGTTTGAATAATTTCAAATCATATTTAAGTATGATGTAGACAAAAAAGAATATTTATAAAGCACTATTGCTGACAATTGCATTAACTGCAGGTCTTTAGAAGGATAAGCACTTTTTCAGTAGATAAAATTGGCTAAATGTGAATCAAATTGAATGATAGCGGGTCCCTTAATTTGCACAACAATTTCATTTAAATTGCAGTTTATGTCTTAACCAAATAATGTTGCCTGTTACATGTTTCACCCTTTTACATTTTATCTTTTGAAACAAATGAAATTATAAAACAAAGATTCTTCTAATAAAGTTTATCAATTATCCTTGTAAGATATAGGACCAACAGATAGACTTGAAGCTAATAACTTTATTGTGTCAAAATATTATTCTAAAAAGGTTGTTTTGGGGCATTTGTAAGTTGAAACATATTTTTCTCCTCTGAGAATTGCCAATTGATTTTGAAAACAATTATCAGGATTATATGACACTGAAGATTAAAAGTTGTAGTGTATTTTAATCAATTTATAATTTAAATATTTTTCAGAAAAGGGCATTGAAAATGTACTTTTCAACATAAACAAATCAAAAAACTTATTTTATTGAAATGGGGATTCTTTCTTTATTGCGAAAATATTTATACTCTTCTTATATTCAATTGACTAAAAGGTTAACAGACATATGATGGGGAATAAACTAAAACAAGAATGTATCCATAGTACACGGATGCTCCACTCGCACTATCATTTTCTATGTTCAGTGGACTGTGAAATTGGGATCAAAACTCTAATTTGGCATTAAAATTAGAAAGATCATATCATAGGAAACATGTGTACTAAGTTTCAAGTTGATTAGACATCAAATTTATCAATAAACTGTTAACACAGAGAAATGTCTCACCTATTTGTAATTTTGATAATACAAATGTTGAAATTAAAATAGCAATACTTTAACATGTAAGTTATGCAAATATTCAAAGTCAATGAACCATGACTGAAGGTACAGGGCTAAACAATCTCCATGGAAATGAGATGTGCCAATGCTAATACAACTGCAAACCAAATACCATTGACTTTTCATAAGTCGTTCCCTTTAAACAAACCTAAACACAAACATTAACTTGTAAACTATGTAAAAGTTTCAAAGTCAATGAACCATAATTAGGGGTTGGGGTTATATAATCTCCATGGAAATGAAACTTGCAAATCCCAATACATTTGCATACCAAATATCATTGACTTAACATTAGTGGTTCATCTTAAACTGACCTAATCACAAACTAATACATGTAAACTAAGCAAAATTTTCAAAGTCAATAGACCATGACTGAGGGGTAAGGATCAAATATTCTCCATGGAAATGAGATGTGCTAATGCTTATACAACTGCATACCAAATATCATTGACCTACCACTAACAGTTCCCCTCAAACTTACCCAATCACAAACTAATACATGAAAACTAAGCAAAAGTTTCAAAGTCAATAGACCATGAATGAGGGGGCAGGGCCAAATAATCTCCATGGAAATGAGATATGCCAATGCTTATACAACTGCATACCAAATATCATTGACCTACCACAAGTGATTCCCCATAAACTGAGATGTCTTTTCAACGCTAGGATGAGACATGTGTTTTTAAGTGCATAATTGATAGGCAAGGGAGATAAGTACAAATTACATTAAGAAAAGCAACGGGAACCTATATTTTTTTGGACCAAAAAATACTGTCTGAATAATTTTTTTTTAATTCTACAAGGTTTTTGTTAAAAAAAAATCAAATTTCTAAAGTCTGTATCTCGAAAAAAGCTATCATTGTCGCCTATGGGGAAATTAATTGTTTATTGCAATCTTAAAAAGACTACAAGAATTTAGTTCCAAGAAGGATAACTCAATTATTCTCTTTTCCAGCCCAGAAAGATCTAATCAAAATCTGTCTCCAACCTTCTGACTTTAAGACATAAAGGTTAAGGAGGGCCTTTGAGTTATGGTGCAAGGCTAAAGATGAGAAAATATGCTGTTAGTACATTTAGTTAGATTTCTAAGGTACATTGTAAGATGATCTCCAATCAAACATACTTGAAATTTGTTTAGCAGCACTATTTTTAATATCCAATAGTACCTGTAGCTATTTCAATGTTAACATTTTTTTAAACAATAGTAACTATTATCGTTGTCAAATAGTACCTGATATCTACTGATCTGTATCTTTTATAAGCTTTTCAGCTGTTTTGTTTGAATTTTTATTGTTATTTATTTATATGTATACAAATGAAATGCTGAAAAAGTAAAATGAAAAAAAAAACATTTAACATGTTGTCATCGTGTAATTAAGCTCATGCAATAACAGCCTTAGACTAAGGACTATACTGTTATCCATAAAAAGGTTGGTGTTCGTCTCACTAAAAAGTGCCTCAAGCCCTTAAAATCCTATTTTGAACATCATGTTCTGCTATTGAAAAAATTTAGGCAAATCATTTACCGGTACAACTTTAAAATGTGGATGTCTTTAATTAAATTGTTTAAAACTGTCCCTTCCAACTAGTGTGAAAAGCTTAATTAGGTAAAAAAATTATCAGTACTAAGAAGGGTTGAAAATATTACATATAATCAGGGCTTGTATTTCATTCTATAAGACTATATTTTTTTGTAAATGAAAAGCCCCATGGGCTAGCATGGAAGATTTGTCCATTCATTCTATGAAATTCTTGTAGTGATCAATCATAAAAGTTGTATTCAACATTAATGTATTCTGACATCAGTAATTTTCTAACAATTGATTGTATCATCAATCATAGGATATCAGTTATGATCTGTTGTTTATACCCTGTCTGGGTTCTTGATCATATGTGAAAATCACACATGTCTTAGGCTAATACTTGCACTTGCCTGAATGAAATATCCCCTTTGAAAAACCCTTGGCATTGGTCTGTCAGAAAATTATATTTCTGAATAATATGTCTTTTCATTCTGATGTAAAAATAAAAAACTCCAAGGTAAACTGAATTTTTGATTATTGCTATAATATGGCAATTCTGTATTCAAATAAATGGGGAATGTGTCCATGGGACACAGATGATGCCCCCCTTTGCATATAACGTTATAAAGGGACATAACTCAAGAATGGTAAAAGTGATGCTATCCAAATTTGTACTTGATCTGAGTTTTGTGGTAATAAGCATTGTGTACAAATTTCATAACATTTGGTTGAGGCAAACTTAAGTAAAGACAACAGAAACGAAAAATTCAGCCATTTTTGCCATTTGTAAATGGGCACAACTCTAGAAAGGTAAAAGTGACGCCGACCAAATTCAAACTTTATCTGAGTTTTGTGGTAATAAGCATTGTGTATAAGTTTCATAACATTTGGTTGAGGCAGACTAAAGTTAGAGATTGGAAACGAAAAATTCAGCAATTTTTCCATTTGTAAAGGGGCATAACTGTAGAATGGTAAAAGTGACGCCACCAAAATTGAAACTTGATCTGTGTTTTGTGGTAATAAGCATTGTGTATAAGTTTCATAACATTTGGTTGATGCAAACTAAAGTTAGAGAACGGAAACCAATTATGGGACGTACGTACGTGTGGCAGACAGACGGACATACAAACAGACAAGGGTAAATCTTAATGCCCTCTCAGCTACGGCAGGGGCATAAAAAAATGTGTCTAATTGAAAGCATGACAATGGATGAGAATGAAGGAAATCATTTTATCTGGCCTTGCAGAAAAAAATAACAGATTGCAATCAAAATGGTAAGTATTCGGTAATTACAAAACAACAATAGACATCAGTGGTCTCTTGAGCCCAAAATAGATGTGTGCAGAGCCTTCCGCCCAAACACCCTCTTCCAAAATGCCCTTGTGCCGTTATGTTGCATAATGAGGGTTGTTCTGCTGTTCCTCATTATCTTAGTGACGTAGACTCTAAAGTAACAATATAAATAAAATGCAATGGCTCTATTGATGTCTTATCATTCAATGTAAATTAAGATGTCCAAACCTTTAAATTTGTATATACCTGTACATTTGTTTGATATGTCAAACAGGTTAATCCAGATTTATTTTTATAAAATGTTATTGAAGGCAATCAAATTGTGTATATCTTTTAATTGGTATTTTATAATATTAAATATATAATATATTTGATTTTCTAAAGTATTGTTTACAAAGAAATAAGTCTTAATTACACCTTTAATAAAAACAACCCCACACATATATACACATTTTCAAAAATAGTGAATAACATTCTTTTATCATCTGCAAATTACATCTTATCCGCACAAAATATTTTAGAATCTACATCAAGTTTATATAAGACTGTTCATTTTAACATGAAACAGAAAGGTTGCATACCTGTAAGGATTCTATTTTTTCTTCTGATGCTTTCATTTTTGAATCTAACTGCTTTTTAATTTCTTGAGGAGGCTGCAATATGAACCTACAAAGAAAAACACAATAACTTAGATAATAACTTTATAGTACAATTTAAGAATTTCAAAATACAATTTTTTTATTTATGAAAAAAGAAAGACCGTTTGAATCCAAAAAATATTACACCCATATTCACATGATTTGAAATTCCAGCCCATTAAGCATGTTGTTGAGGTCTAATTGAAATACTTGGTAACTCCTTTATGACGTATTATCACAGCATTCCAACCCTTTCTGCTGGTCACATCATTAAGTATTGTATGTCTCAACTAAGTCTACTTATTTTTATCAAAGTTTTATCAAAATAGCATTGTCTGCCACAGGATAAATTATACAAAATATAATTTGTAGGGAGTTGGTTTATCAGCATCTCTTCATTGGTGTTGAGTCACTTTTAGAGGGAATTTGACTCTACATGTATATGATAAGCATCAAAAATAGCTTTATGGTTTGCATGTTTTTTGTCTGACATGCTATCAATGACATATTTTGGCAATATAAAAGGACATTCCAAATATTATTATTTCTGCCAACTTTGTTTCAGTTAATTCAGTAAAAACTGCTAATTAATGCCTAGACATCAAATAAAACATTGATCATGATCCCTGAACGATGAATTTCTACCAACTGATCCTACAACCAAACAATCAACCTGATTGACAAAATTTCTTACATAAAATTAACAGACAGGAAATCTCTGTATACTTACATTCTGCCCACTCCTTCATACAGACGGGTTTCTTCTGCCAGGGATGACAGTTCATGATATACCAATTTTGAATGCTGAATTGTTCTCTTAAGGGCCTCTATCTGAGCATCGGAGATCTTAATTTGATTTTTGGAGTTAATCATCTTTATCTGAAGTTCTTGAAATGCCTACAATGATTTTAAAAAATAGTCTATACATGTATAATAACAATTTCTGTAAACAATGAACACTTTTCTTCAGATGCTATTTCTTGATCCAAGTGTCAAACTATTCCATGAGAATCAATTATAATCAGAAATTGCATGATTACTGATTACCTGTGATTACATTGCAAAATGTTATTGATTACAGCTGATAACAAATGTACGATTAACCAATGCCTGTATGTGATAGTTTTTCAAATCAGAGAATCAAACACATATATTTTACTTCCAACGTTAACTGTAAGATTTGTATTATTGAACCTTGCTGGGACCAACTTACAGGTAAATTTTATTTGTTTGTATGCAACTTAAGGAAAAGGTCCATTGTACTACAATGTAATAGTTATTATTTTTTTTAAATTAATTTTCTTAAGAATACGGATTTTGGTTATACATGTAGTTGGTTCATGTTCTGTTGTTCGCCATGGTTCGTAAAAATCTTCAATGGTGGAAAAGGAAAATTTACAAAAATAAGAGATGTTTTTAATGCAATAGATGGAAGAAACATGAACTATTGGCAATTTTTATCATGTTCTTATGAAGTAATAATTTATTTTATTGAAAATTAGAATGTTTCAATGTATGCTTTTGCGTAAAAATACCTGAAGTGAAAGAAAATACTTTTTAAAAAGTTGTTTCTTTGAAATAACAACATAAACTGCTTCGCTGAGCGCAGCTAGATACACCAGCAGATGTCCAACGCTGAACAGTTGGGGCAAAAATGGACACAATATTCAAGCTTGATACAGGTCTGAATTTAGATTTTAATTAAATATTTGACATATTACAGGTTTCTGAATAAATGTAGTCAAAGAACTTGAAATTGGTTATATGAATTGAATTTATATTCAATTAAAGATTTCTTGCTGTTGTGCAATACACTGTGCTGTTGCGCAATACTTAGTAAATCTGTTGTCAGACTATAAACAAATAAAGTTCAATTAATTCTCAGTCATATTAGAAATTTATGAAAATCAAAAGGGAGCTTACATCAATAGATATAAACAATTCACCAAAGTTTCATGAGAATTGCTGACAGCATTTTTGAGTTATTGTCCGAAAACTGGAAAATCCCCCCTTTTTTAATGAATAAAACCCCATAACTCAGAAATGTAGAATGTAAAATTTATAAAATTCTAAAAGGAGCTTACTTAAATAGATATAAACAATTCACCATAGTTTCATAAGAACTGCTGAAAGCATTTTGGAGTTTTTGTCAGAAAACTGGAAAATCCCCCTTTTTTCCAGTTTTCGGACAAAAACTCCAAAATGCTTTCAGCAGTTCTTATGTGAATATCTTTTATGAATAAAACACTGTAACTCGGAAACGTAAAATCCAAAATTTTTAAAAATCGAAAGGGAGCACATGTCAATAGATATAAACAATTCACCACAATTTCTTGCAAGTTGGTGAAAGCATTCTTAATTATTGTCCGAAAACTGGAAAATCCCCCTTTTTTAATGAATAAAACCCCATAACTCTGAAACATAAAATTTAAAATTTATAAAAAACGAAAGGGAGCTCACGTCAATAGATATAAACAATTCACCAAAGTTTTATGCAAATTGGTTAAAGCGTTTTTGAGTTAATGTCTGACTTGTTGACGACGGACGGACAGGCGGACGGACGGACAACAGTTTACCATAATACGTCCCGTAAACGGCGTATAATAAGACCAATCTGTAAAGTCAATGTTTTCACCAAGTTTCAAGAAATAAATTGTTGATGTCTTTTAATTTCTTTACTCATGTTACTTATAAATATATAATTATAAAATTGCTATTCCATCAACTTGGAAAATTGCTGATGATGAAAGCGACTGTTGAGAACAACCAAGCAACTAGATATCCCTTTTGACTATTGGGAAAAGTGAAGTAACAAACAGGAAAGCGACTTCTTTTCCCAAGTTGCCAGGTAGCGTGAGCCCTGGCCATAGGACCAGTCAAAATCATAAGTTCACAATGAAATCAGACTTTAATTTTTTTTTATCAGATCAGAACTGTTTACCAGTTAAAGAGTCTGACATGATTGCTACATTGTATGTAAACCACACTCGTTTTTTGGCCGATCAGGACCAACAGGTCTAACAATTTTCAACAGCTCCTGTTTCACCAGGGAAATCAAAAATTTTGAAAGTAGACATCTTATATCAGGAGGACTCAATCTCACAATGAAACATTGGGAAAGGTGGACTGTTTTCAAAACAAATCACATATTTAGACTCTACATGTACATGCCCTTTAGCATGGTTAGATTTAACCGGAAATTTTAAACAGTTAATGGGATTAATCATGTTAAACATTAGTTTGATATATTTTTTATTCATGCTCGTCTATCATGGATATACATGTACACGATATAAACATGATATAACAGGGTTGGCAAAGTAATATCCCGCCTGGGTTTTCCCTGGCTGGGCAATACTCCCAGAAACGGGTAATATTACTGGGCAATATGATTTTTTAAGCTTATTTTTACACAGAATAGTAAAGACTTGTTGTAGTTTCATAGTATTATAGCTAAATATATATATATTTTATACAGATAGCCATTGGGAGTCATTTCTAGGAGATTGAAAATTCAATTTCATCCTTTTCTCCACTAGTTCTGTGTAGACAAAATACAAGTTTTGCACATTTTGGGATATCTTGTTAATTTCCAAGCTTTGTTTCAATAATCCAAAATTTGAAAAAAAGGCATTTTATTGCAGTGTTTAAGTGAATTGTAAATTTTAATTGTTATACAATCATATTGCTAAATAAACACCCTAAGGGGACATGTCATGAACACTTATAGAAATGAAAAGGGTGAGTATTGTTATATACATGTAAACAAATTTTTGGTATAATCTGAATAATTACTTATTAATTAGTGATCATGGTGATGTACATATAAATATGCCAAAACTTATCAAACACTTTTAGCAATGAACAAAAATTGTTTAAAAGTATTTTTTCTTATATATAATTGTTAATTCTTAATATTAGTTATATATATCTAAAAAAACAAATTGAATTCTTTGGCTTTATGTAAATAGTTTGACCAATCAAGATAGAATGATGATTTAATAGATTTTTAGGAGGATCATTAAAGAAAGCTTTTCACATTTGTCTTATGTATCTTCATGTACACTTGTCTTACATTTGCTGGAACAATACTTTCTCAGATTTACACACTTTATAATAAGAGTCTCAAACAAGTGAACTAATAAATTAAGAAACTACCATTTTTATAAATCTGTTTAATGTATCTCATTTGTGATTAATCACTGAATCCTCTTTAAAATTCAGGCCAGTATTTCATTAGTCTGAGATTACTCTGACGTCCAACGGCTGTTTTGCCAGACAAGCTGGGGCCGTGGGACGTCAGAGCTCGTCCCATATCAAAAAGTGGATATTTGCCCGTCCAAAATAAATACGCTGCTTCGTCGCTTCTGGTGCCAATGGACGGCCTTGGAATTATATAAATCGCAGACTACACGAAATTCGTCGGACCGTCGGACAAATCCGGTGAATAATGGATCGGTCTGGTAAAATTTTGTTGAATTCCGGTCCGAATGTCCGGTGTTGTTTTTTTCATGGATTTTTCTAAAAACCCTACATTTTCCCCAATTTTGGGAGCAAAATACCCAAACGATCTCGAAATTCATTTTCATCTTTATTATTCATGACAACGATGTTTATTTTGTTCAACCGCTAGCTTTATGCCGAAAATCGCCGACAAGTAATGTGTAAATCCGAGTAAAAATATATCTGACTGACAAAAACAACAATGGCTGCCATCAACCGGAAATGTAGACAATACCGGATCAGATTCCGGGAACGGATAAGGCCAATTCCGGGTTTTGCCGATCAAATACAATAAATAAAAAAATAAAAAATCCAAGCAGGTTCACAAAATACAGTACAGCTATGAAATATAAACACTAGAATTGAAAACCAAAAGATATAAGAAAAAGAAAGAAGATACAGGAAATATTTTATACAGAAACTCAAAATTATTTTTAGTTCACAAATAATTTTCATGTCAAAATCCAATAAAATGTGACATTACTTTTCTTTATCACTGAAATGCATTCAAGCAATTGTGCACAACTTTCATCGAAATATACACTCTTGTCACATGACTTTGTTTTTGTGCATTTTGGAGAGGAGTAGGGCACAACAAGTCATAAGTTTGTTGTATTTTGTCGGATAATATACAATTATATGTAAAAAAATTGGTCTGGTAAAATTTCATTCGGTCTGGTAAAGCTAGGTTGTTTACCAGACCGAATGTCCTGTAAAAATAAAATTCATTCGTGTAGTCTGAAATCGGGTATCAATTTGTTCATTTTTCATTTATCTCTTCATTTATGTAAGTTTCACCTACCTGCCACCCTTTATTTTCTAATATTTAGACAGTTTTCACAGTGACCCATCGATTCAGACATTTTTACTTTTATTTTCAAATGGACGTCAAGTTTCGAGAGATTTCGCGACCTCGAGACTCAAATATGCAAATATTTATACTTTTTTCACCTCCTTTATAGGAGATCGATATTTAACATTTAGAAGCCAACCACGATTTTTCACCTCCTTTACAGGAGATCGGTATTAAGCATTTAGTGCCAACCACGTTAACAATCGGAAGCTCTCGGATATTAACATTGCTTGCATCGTAAATGAGCGAGGTGTTAAATTATATATTCATATTGACCTAGGGTCATATGCATACATCATTTCCCATAGTCCATTGTGCCTTACTTTTTTCTCGTGATCACATGACAATCTTTCAAAATGAAAGTCAAAAAGCCAGAATCGGTGGGTCACTGTGAAAACTGTCTAAATATGAGAAAATAAAGGGTGGCAGGTAGGTGAAACTTACATAAATGAAGAGATAAATGAAAAATGAACAAATTGATACCCGATTCATATAATTCCAAGGCCGTCCGTTGGCACTAGAAGCGACGAAGCAGCGCATCTATTTTGGACGGGCAAATATCCACTTTTTGATATGGGACGAGCTCTGACGTCCCACGGCCCCAGCTTGTCTGGCAAAACAGCCGTTGGACGTCAGAGTAATCTCGGACTAGTATTTCATATTACCCAGTATTACCCGGTAAAACCCAGTAAAACCCGGGTTTTCCCAGTATTTCCCACTGGGCTGGGCAATACTCATAAAACCCAGGTTTTTGCCAACCCTGTAATAAAGAACAATTTTCATATACATAATTTGTAATCAGCAAGTAATCTGAATGTAATCAGGATAAATTGAGATTACTTGTAATCAGAAAATACATGATTACTGATTACATTGAAAACTGTTTCTGATTACAGCATGCACATATCATTGTATACAAGTACAGCGGATTACGATTACTGATTATGATTACCCCATGCCAGATTTGTGTTTCGTTATATTTTGCTTTTTATCCAAATTAAACATTTTTTGCAAAGTAAATCTAATAATCTATATCCTAAGAGGGTTTTAAATTGTTAGAAACCTATTTCAGTGACCAGTCCCAACCTGTTAATAAACAGGTAGACATAACCCTTATCAAGTTTCATCTTACTAAAGTGTAAATAATGGTCTTCTTGTGAACTTATACCCTTGTTAGTTTAATGAAATATTGTAACAATTAAACAGCAGAGACTCGACATGCGATGTTGCTGTGTTCCATGACAATGCTGTTTTAACAGTATAATTTATAAAAAGGCCGTGCACAGAAGGTTAAATAAGCAAAAAACAACTCTGCCTCTGATCTTAATGTTTTGAAAACTAAACACATCTATTCTAAAACTATATGATAACAATCCAGAATAACTGAAAGAGTTCTATAAAAACCTTTTTAAGCTCCATATCAACGGGCAACCCTGCTTTCGATGCCATTCTGTTATTTGATCAATGTGTAAAGAAGGCTTTATTTCGTTCCGTATATAAAATGTATTACAAACGCACGACTAACTGCAATATCTTAAAGTTTCCCGAACCATATAAAGTAAGTCTTACGTATTTAAACATTTCATTACAACAACGCACTACAACGAAATGAGTAATTATAACGAAGTCCGAATTAGTAGCTGTTTAAATCCTCAAAGTTAAAAAAAATATATTTTTATTAACAAAATAACGTTAATTTCATTACTAACATTATTTATTGATTTACATTGTCGAAAGACATTTCAAGAAATCATTAAAAACAATTACTCCGGCGGCATTGAGAAACGGTAGGATTATCCTATGATTAGTTAGGCGTTGTATTCCTGCTTTATACAATTTAAAGGTGATACCCGAGACTAGTATACTATAGTATAATAGTCCAAGGTGATAAAGTCATAATGTTTGTTAAAGGGGAATTCGATTCTTTTGTGGTTGGGCTGAGATCATATCTGCATCTACATCTACATCGTACGACGATCCATCAGCGCATTGATGACAATCAGACTATACGTCGGCGCATTACAAACAGACACTTATTAAACGATAACAATTTTATGTGTCCAATAATCAAAAAATAATTTTGTGCAAAAAATTAAAAATAAAAACACATTTAGACCACACCAAATTAATTTCTAGTTCTTCGGACTCTTTCCTTAAAAAAGGGTAGCGAGAGAGCGAAATTTGTTTATTTGTTTTTTTTTCGAAGTTTGATTTTTGGCAGGCGAAGAATTTTTTTACTAGCGAGCGATATTATTTTTGAAATATTAAAAAAATAAAATCTATGAAAAGAATTTTAAGCGAGCGAGCGATCAGAAATTTACTCAGTTTTGTTGCTTCATGTTTTTATATGATCTCATATCCTAGTTCTTATATTACCCTACATTGCTTCTCAATTTGTTCTCAGACACCCTGTTGAATCTTTTCACAACATTTCCAGTACACAAGTGGTTAACTAGTAGCAAAACATACAACTTCATGTAGTCGGCTTAAATAAAGATCCTGCTAAACATGAAATAGTACAAAAGCTTTGAACAGCTATGCATGCATTTTTGATATAAATTGTTATAACTGATGCATTATAAAAATAAGGAGATGTGGTATTATTGTTAATGAGACAACTATCCACCAAAGTTCAAATGAAATGGATATATGCAACTATAGGCAACCATACAGCCTTCAACAATTAGAAAACCCATACCGTATAGTCGGCTATAAAAGGCCCTGCTACATGAAAAATATGAAACAATTCAACTGAGAAAACTAACGGCCTAATTTATAACAAAACCATTTACGAAAAACAAATTTGACAGACATGAACCAACGACAACCAGTGAACTGCAGGCTCCTGACTTGGGACAGGCACATATAAAATGATATATTGTTTCAAATAAACTTTTCTATACAACTATACATATTTGTGTATACAACCAGGTGAAAATTTATAAATGACTGCCCTTCAAAAACTACACCAATTTGAATGCGGGACAACTCGGCCCGAGTCAAATCGGACTGAATAATAAGTCAATTCAGACCGTATAATATAATTACAACTCAGACACAGTATTAAAAGAGGATTAAAACTATTTAAATGATTATAAAAGAGAGCTGAAAGATACCAAAGGGACATTCAAACTCACAACTTTTTAAACTCATAAATTATTAAATGATATAATATTTTACATGACAGTTTCATTTACATGTTGCTGAATTTGGAAAACATAATAAAAAAAATTCAGATGTGTTTTATGTGAATTCAAATTTCTACTTATCTTTATCAATCTAGTATTAAACTTAATTGAAGCAAAAAAGTCTATGTTGAATTTGTTTTATTTATTAGTTGAATTCTTTATTTGTTATTTCAAAGTCAACTCGGACCGTCTATATTATGTAAAAATCTTCTAATTATTATTACCGTATTATGTAAATGACATATTTGTTACTTAAAAAATATAGGGAGCATTATTTAATCTTCAACAATAGACAGATGCATGTCAATATAAATTGTCCAGAGTCTATAAGTTGTGATCTAGAATTGTCTATATAGAAGTCTCTTCATAGACAGTCCGAGTTGTCTTTTTCGTCACTTATATAGTCAAAATGGGCATCAAAACTCTCCCTTTATTATTTGCATTTATTATTTTCATTGTAGACGATATGACTTCTCTTCAGAAACATGTACAGTCTTTTTCATTAAATCATTTATATGGTAAAAACTCTAATTTTAGAATTTGTCTGAGTTGGCATTATAAACTGCCCGAGTTGATTTACATACTGTCCGAATTGTCTTCATAGACGGTCTCAGTTTTATTTTTTTGTAGATGGTCCGAGTTGTCTCTGGGGCGAGTGATCTCGCACCCACCAATTTATACTTCTTACATTTGTAGTATTCAAATGCATCACACCGGATGCCATATACTGATTAAACAAAAGGAACATTTCAATACATTCCACTTAGTCATGTTAGTCATTGCTTTGCTGAAGAATTTAATATCAATCAAATTTTTATGTAAATGGGGGATATAATGCTCTACGGTGAAGGCCATACCGTGAACTATACTGGTTGAAAATATCAACAAATTTAGTCTCTGGTGGTAGTTTTTCTCATTGACAATCATACAAATTCTTATTTTTAGAAGATTTGTGTGTAAATTGTAAAGTTGAATTGATGTGTTATATTCAATTACCACAAAATCTTTCTTGAGTCAAATCCATGCTTGATTTATAACTCTGTAATGATACTAGAAAACATAAATAAAAGATTCAAGGAATAAAACCTTTATTCTAAAAGATAAAACATAATTTTATTATAATAGTTTCATTGCAGTGCCATTTCAATGCATGTACCATCATCTTTTGGGATTCTGTTTTGATTCAATCAATTCCCTCAAGATTAAAACCACCAACTAACCAAAGATGACAATTACTACTACGCCTTATTCTGTAAATAGATTTTCCTAAGTGTGTTAAATAGTCCTCCTCGGTTTTATTTGGAGGTTTATAAAAACTCCCTAAGAACAAATCAGGTGACCCTATAACTTGCACCTTGACCCACAGTTGTTCACTAGTGTCATCAGAATTTAAATCAGGTGGTTCTGAGCTGAGATATTTGTCAGATATAAGTATAAATACCCCGCCATGAGCGTCTATTTTACGGTCGTTTCTGTATACAATGTACCCTTGTGGGAAAACCTCAGTAGAATCTATATCTTTGTGCAACCATGATTCATTACCAATCATAATATGTGGTTTAGTTGTCTCATTAAGATTATCAATGTCACATTTTTTATTCCCAAACGACTGACAATTTACCACCATTAAGTCTGATCTTTTATTTCGTGTATACTTGTGTGTCTGTTTAGATGATTTTAAAAATAGGGGAAGATGCTGCTGATGGACTCCCTATATTGCCTTCACTAACATGACTAAAGACTGAATTAATAGATGAATCAAAGTTACATGTATTTGTATTCATGACTATTGAATATGTATCAAATAGACTATGTGGAGAAGTCCGGTAAGTCACAAAAGTGCTCATGCCTATTAGTATGGAACGCCAACACTGTCTTGTTATGACCATTTTCATTATATGATGTGCATTTACCTTTATATGATGTGCACTTGTCATTATATGATGTGCAAACACCTTTATATAATGTGCAAACATCATAAATATGGTGTGCAAACATCCTTATATGATGTGCAAAAATCATTATATGATGTGCAAACATACTTATATGATGTGCATATATACTTATATGATGTGCTTATATACTTATAAGATGTGCAAATATACTTATATGATGTGCAAATGTACTTATATGATGTGCAAACATTCTTATATGATGTGCAAACATTCTTATATGATGTGCGAATGTACTTATATGATGTGCAAACATTCTTATATGATGTGTAAATGTACTTATATTATGTGCAAAGATCCTTATATGATGTGCAAATATACTTATATGATGTGCAGATATACTTATATGATGTGTACATATCATTATATGATGTGCAGTTACCATTATATTATGTGCAAATATCTTTATATGATGTGGTTGTGTCATTATATTATGTGCTTGTAATCTTATATGATGTGGTTTGGTTTACTTCATTATATGATGTCGAAACGTCATTATATGATGTGCTTTCATCGTCGTTATGGTCAATGAACATGATTACGATTAGAATGATTACTGTCTACGTCATAACTAATTCCGATCTGCTTCTGTAAACTATAAACCCAGCTCAAATATGTGTCTATCGCTAGCGAGAGTGCAATTAATAGGAAAAATGAGACAATGCAATTTAACAAAATCAACGTTTCAAACAATTCGGAGGGAGATTAAGATCAATTAATACAGGAGCTAATTGGAGAAATTTGCGGCTGTGGCGAAAATATGATAAAACAAATTTTGAGGCTCTTTATAGCTTGCTATTTGGGTTAAGCAAATGCTACGTGTTGAAGGTCGTACTTTGACCTATGATTGTTTACTCTTACAAATTATGACTTGGATGGAAAGTTTTCTCATTGGCTCTCATACCACATCTTCTTATTTCTATTCATTGCAAAATGCACCATTGAACTCACAGTCAGTTTTAAAATTATTTCAAAACAATAGCTATAAAATTATCTACTCGTGCATAATATGGCGAGATGGTTTGTTTTATAAAATGTTATTGAATAATATAAATGGTAAGATGTATAATGTAGTGTTACTCCTACAAAACCATACAAAGTCGGAAACATTTGTTTTATGACGTATACATGTAGTGTTTTGTATACTTCCTTAATTTGTCTTTGAAACAATCTTTTTTCCACAGAAAAAGCCAAAATATCCAAATTTGGAGACCGCATGCTTAGTCCACGTACTGCCCGCGAAATGCGAAATGGTCAGGTTGGGTAATGTTCACATATTTGTATATACAGATTGTTTATTTTCAACTTATTTTAATGGAGACTTTTTTAATTGCTTATAAAATTCTGCAACTTGAGTATGACAACAGATTTGGAGTGGCGTCAACGG